CGCCCCGGCCGTGGCGCAGTGCTACAACCGCGGCGCGGACGGGCGCCACGTGCAGGTGCGGGGCTGCGCGGGGCTCCCGCGGCGCGGGGCGGCCGGCGCTGCCTCCCTCCGGCCTGCAGGGAGAGCCGGGACCGTTCTTGAGGCCGCTGAACTGCCCCGTTGAGGCACGGCCTGGTTGCCGGCGGTGCCCTTGCGCGCGTATCACGGCTCGCTTTCATTTCCTTATGAATAAGTGGGYGACCGTGCGTTGGATTTCGGGCTTCCCCACGGGCACCCACTCCCCACGGGGACCCGCTCCCCAGCTTACGGGCTCCCCGCTGCGCAGGGCGCAGGTTGTTGTCACAACCAGCGGTGCTGCTGAAGGAGTCTTGGAGCAACCGGCTCCGTGTAGAGCTGGTTCACGGGCACCGCTCTCCGTGCCCCAAACCAGCAGATTCCTCCAGTTCTCCCAGCTTTAAAACACCTCCCCTAAGTAATTTTGAACTCCGAAGTGTTTCCACAGGTTCCTTYGCTTGTGGCCTCTTGAACAACTCGTTAATAGTTAACGTGTTATTCCCTGGGGTATTTGTGAAGGCGCAAGCAGTTGTTCCCGTCTCCGAGACCTCTCGTCTCAGGGTGACGTTCCTCTGGGTTTTGCAGTGGGAGTGCAAGGCCGAGTTGGAAAGCAGCTACCGCTTCGGAGACATCGAGGTGAGCTGCGAGGGCTACGACTACCCCGACGACCCCTACATCCTGGAGGGGTCCTGCGGGCTGCTCTTCAGCCTGGAGCTCACCGAGGAGGGCGAGAGGAGGGCCAGGGGCTCCGCAGGCTTCGGCTCCGGCCCCTATCYGCCGAGGAAGGATTCCCTGGAGTCGGTCCCCGGGGCGGTCGTGCTGCTGGTTCTCCTGGCTCTGGCGTACGGAGTTTACAGGCTCTTCCTGAGCGAGCAGCAGCCCCCACGGAGCTTCAGCGACGGCTTCTCCGGGCCTTCCTGGCAGGGCCGCCAGGCGCCCCCTCCGCCCGGCTTCAAAGCCACCTTCACAGGTAGGGCCCCAAGGCTAACGTGGGGCGGCGAGCGGGAGGCTGGCAGTGTTTCCTGGGGGTTAATACCCAAAATCGGGATGTCTAGAGCACCCGTTGAGAGCCCCGGCACTTTSAATGCCTCCCATCGGCTTTTCCTCTCGGGATTCCCCTGCGCTGAGGCCGCTTCTGAAACACGAAGCCAGGAGGAAAACTTCCTGAGTTTGGGAGGCAGCCCCAGGTGGTTGTTGCACCTCTGTGTTTCTGTAGTCAGTGACCTCAAACAACCCACACCAGTTGAAAGAACAGAAATGGAGCCAGGTGCAACTCTTATGTAAAAGATCTCTGSTCTCCCTAAATATTTCACGCCTTATTTTTTATACTTTATTACAAATTATGTTTAAACTTTAACCACACCGTGTTTTTGCTCTCATTTTTCCAATACCCAAACAAACAAAGAGTTTCAGCTTTGATTCCGCAGCTTTTCTTGCAAACCACGATCAGGTGTTTGTCAAGGTGCTGACTCTTGCACAACAACAGCTTTGCCGCAGGATTCCTCAAGATACTTGACTTTTGTCCCCGAGCTGTGAATTCGAGCCTCTTTTTTCGTTTTATCTTTATTTTTTCCCTCCTACCTGATGTTCACAGCTTTGCAAGGAAGGGCTGCKGGTGTTTTGCAATCATCAGGGCTGCAGGGTAGCTTTTAGCGTAAAGCAGCTTTCCTGCGCTGCTGGTGGCATTTTTGGTATCTGTTTTTCCTGCTTTTTAACAGCTTTCGTGTTAGGCTCACTCTGTAACTGAAATGAACGGGAATTTGATGCCTAATTTCCTGTTAAGGAGGCAGAGCGGGTGCTGTTGCAGTATCTGGCRCGAGGATTAGGTGCCATGGACTGATGTGTTTCCTCTTTCCCACTTGCCTTAAGAGCCTGACACCTTTGGGACTCACTTCAATCATGGAGCCAACTCCGGACCAGGATTTTGGACTGGATTAGGAGCAGGAGGTTTGCTAGGCTACTTGGCTGGCAGTCACAGGTAAGATATAAGCTGTCCCTCCTGTTGTGAGCTCAAGGATTTATGCTTTWTTTTTCTTTTTACRTGTCATTCAGACTCTAAATTCCTATTGCTAGAGCAGGTTGGGACTGCTCCAAGCAGTGAKGCAGCTTCAGACATTTTTTTGGGAGAGCATTTGAGGGCACTCAAGACCCAGGCTGCTCCAGTGTAGTTTGTGCTGTTTATCCAATAACTCTATATCAGTCCCCCTTCTGTAACTGGTGTAACTGGTTCTGTAGAGCCCCGAGTGCTTTATACTGCAGGTGTGGGAGCAGGAGAGGCTGCGTGGGCAGGCTGTGCTCCAGCACCTGCCTGCCGGGAAAGGCAGCTGGGTCCGGAAGCCTGAGCAGGACAGCCTGGCTCCTAATGAAGGAGAGCTTGGGAACAGGGAGGTTTTCTGAAGGATGAGGAAAAAAGTGCCCGGTGGGCRGTTTTGGTGCCGTGTGGAGTCGAGTGAGGTGAAATGCCAGCTGATTCCATCAGAAGTAGAAATTGCCTGTGAATTCACTTAGAGGAGGAGGGTTTTGATCCTTAAAGGATGARAGGTTGTGCCTTGCTCTGTTGGCCTCACTGAGGATCCTTGGAAGGTAAAGAGAATTAAAAGCATCCTTGATGTTAGATATGAGGTCTATATATGGATTGTTTCATTTCCCTTGTTTCACTGGCCTGTTCTTAGTGCTTGAGATAACAAGTGGCCTGACTGAGCACTCGGGCTCAAATATACAAATAAAATTTCTAATTCKGGCTCATTTGGCACAGATATTTCTTTTCCTGCTCATTGTTTCTGACATTGCTTCCAAAACACCCGCTCCAGAAAGCGGGCCAGCAGCCCGAGCTTCCGCAGCAGCCCATTCCGTAGCCCCCGGAGCAAATGCAGGCCCGAGCCGGAGCCCGTGATGTGGTGGCCTCCTCGGCCCGGCTGTTCCAGGTGGCTGTGTGGGGACTTYTTGTGCCTGGTGCAGCTGGCCCTGATGGGCTGGATGTGCTGTATTTTTGGGAAGCCGCGTGGCTGTTGGGCACAGAGGGAGCAGCTCTCCCMGCTGCTGTCCGAGCTCCGAGCGGGGCGGCCGGGAAGGGCTGTTCCGGGGGTCGGTGCCGCCCTGCCAGGGCTCCCCAGCCCCACGGATCCCTTTGTCCCCCTCTCCGCAGGACGCAGCCGTCGGCGCCGCCGTTGGACGCGTGGGCGGCGCGCGGGCAGCCGAGCGGCACCGCGTGCGCCGGCGCCTCCGGGACCAGGACCGCCTCGGGTAAGGCRCCTCGCACGTGCCCCGCTCCCTTCCCTGTCCCGCCTCGGCCTCCGGGCCCCTTTCTCCCTGGTCACGAGCCCTCGGCGCGGCTCCGACCGCTCTGTGTTTTGCCCTCCGCAGGCTTYGGCGGCACGAGGCGAAGATGAAGCGCGCGGCGGAGCTGCTCCTCGGCGGCGAAGCTCGGCCCTCCCTGCGTGCACCGGCACCTCTGTGTCTGCAGCGAGCTCTGGGCGTGAAGGGGAGATKAGCTGGGCGGGACTGAGCAAATAATTCCTTTTTCCCTGTGGAAAAGCGGGCTCTTGTTCTTCAGGGTGCTGCGGGTACTGGAACATCCACTGTTTGGGAAAACAACTCGGTATAAGGTACAAAATGAGCACTTCCAAGCAAAGGAGGACGCGGTTGCCTGTTCTTGGCTGACGATGTCACGTGGGACCTCAGCAGGTTTTCCAAGCCAGGTGCTCACTCGTATACTCTGGGTTAAACACCATTCAAGCTGGAATTTGCCCGAATTTGGGCTGTTTTCTGTTTTACTTTCCTCTGTGACCCAGCACCTGGGAGGACTCGCACATGCTCCGCCCGATAYCTGAGGGCTGCCGCCTCCTTGGGCTTGGCTGCTAAAACTAAGTGCGTGTGTGTGTGGCCTAGACCTTTCCCTAGCGGAGAGAGCACCTCACGGGCGCTTTATCCCCCCGTGAAAGCCGTAGGTTTTGGGAATGCTTTTGTTTTAACTGTGAACCTTAGCAGCGCTGTGAAGGCTTCAATGTGAAAGGCTCGAGTCGTGTGTCCTGTTTTTTTGTTATTTCCTGCCACTTGTGCAGGGCAGAGCTGAGCAGAGCGGCAGATGGCGAGTGGAAAGGGAGAATCCTCCCTTGGAAGCTGGTGGCTTCCCTGGCACGGTGCAGCCCTAAGGCTCAGCAGAGGAGCCCAGTGAGACACCGTGCAGCGCAAGGAGACGCAGAGCTCTGCGAATGCCCTCAGTTTTCCCATTGAAGTGGTGTCAAGGAATGAATGGGAGTCCGTCAGTAGGCGAAGGGCTGGGCGCAGGGGAGGAGGTGAATGGCAATTTACTGTGTAGCTTCTGCTTGTGAGYGTAATTCAGTCTGAAACTAATTGTGGTAACTCTGAACCAGCTATATTAACGGTGAAACTTTGTTTGTTTTTACTGCCTGTCTCGTTTACTGCCTGTTTACTGCCTGCAGCCTAGAGCTGGATCCCCAATTCCGGTGAGCTGTAACGTGTTTGGGGTCGAGTTCTCATTGCCCCTGTTGTGCTGCGTGAACCTGGCGACTCTGTGACTGTTTCTAACAGCGCGGGGAGGCCTGTGGGTCCCTGGCCGTGCGCTCGGGTGCGGGGGGACCCCCCATTCTGGGGACAGCCCCCTTGCTGTGGCTGCGTCCGCCCCACGTGCGCAGTGGGGCTGGAGCCGCGGGCACCAACCCCGCTGCTGCCAGTGGGGCTTGCAGACGTCTCGGCCTCCGGGAGGGGGAAGGGACGTGTCCCGTCTGTTCCTGGCGGGATTCCATGGCCTGAAACGCTCCCGTTCCCGTTTGGATGTCAGGGAAAATCCCCTGCTCTTTTTCCATGGGGAGGACGGGCCTACCCGCCGCTTCTGGCAGCGGCGCCCGCGGTCGGAGGCACGATCAGTGGATATTCCTCTGCGCTGCAGGAGAGGCGGCCGGGCGCGGGCTCTGCGCGGGAAGGCCGGGGGAAAAGCGGGGAAAGCTCCGTTTTCCGCAAAAAGAAAAAAACCCCCAAAAAAACGGTTTCCGCCATGAGGAGACGGCGGCTGCCCTTGCCCACGTGACAGCCCCGGGGGGCGTGGCCAGGGGGCTGGGGCGGGGCCCACTGAGGGGCGGGGCGGGGCTGCGGGGCCACGGAGTGACTGTGGTGGGCGTGGCGCAGCCGGCGGGAGGCGGAGCCAGGCAGGGCGGTGGGTGTGGCCGTGCCGGCGAGGGGCGGGGTGCGGCTAGGCTGTGGGTGTGGCCAGGCGGCAGTAGGTGGTGCCGGCGGAACGGTGGGCGTGTCGAACAGAGTTGTGGGCGTGGCCGCGCGGC